GACCAAGCCGACACGAATAAGATCTTCAGCCCGGGCGCCCAAATGTGTAAATGACCAAAGCGCTCTTTCCATTCATCGGCGGTGTAGGCAGCAATTCGTTGCGCCCGAAATGGAAGACAATGTTCTGGAGGAGCCTGGCGATGGCAATTTAGCAACACAAGATCTGGAAGCAGAAATCTCCACTCAGACTGGAGATGGAAGTACTTCACAGGAAGACATTGGTGACAATCGATGATCAGAGTCCATGCAAACTGTTTGAAGGTTACTCCAAACACCGTTGTGGTGTCATCCCCATTTTCAGGGTATGATCCTTTCGAGGTCGCCGTGGTCACCTGCCGTCGTCGCTTGGATAGAAGTCAAAAACCCACCAACTGTGGCTACCTGCTTCGCTGTCGCTACCTGCTAGTTGCTACAGTATCAGATATTCTCAGATTGTCATTCTGTCGAAAATGGGTGCTATTATGTGCTACGAGTATTAGTGTATGGCGATAGGGGTTCGGTGTTACAATTGTGGAAAATCGACGAGCCTTCAGAATCTCTTGATTCAAAGGAATGTGCCTCCATTCTTGGCACACCGCACGTCCATTCTTCCAAGCCTCATGGTCTCTTCCAAAGCTGTCGGAGCTCCGGATGGAATGATTCATGGGAATTTCCTGGAGCAAGTGCTGCATGAACTCCTGCGGGTCATCCACCTCCACGTCCATGGCTGCACATGGCTTCTGCACCATGGCCCGTGGTTTGAGGGGGACCCCTGCGGCAGAGCCCATCTTATCTCTTTTTCCGGCCGGACCGTCTGGCCCTTGAACCGAGATGCTCCAATGGTTTGTGCCGTTTTCCGGCGCAGGAAAGACCATGTTTCACCGCGGGTGTTCCGCAGAAACGTGTGTTCCTGGTACCTGCGTGTCAGTATTTGAGGACACTGAACCAGACAACAAGCACCCAAAATAAGTCTGCCTTCTATGGCAAGTCTCAATAAGCGATGCAGTAGATGGCACCCAAGCTGACAAGCCCAGGCGGAAGAACTGCAATGACATCCGTTCAACTCATAAATAAAGTTGACAACTTATCCTACTGCTATTGCTATTACACATAACTATAGTTACTACTGCTGCTGCTAAGTACTCCTATAAAGTTTAATATTGTTCGAACGTTGAGCCTCTACTTGTACCATCACACTTCTACTACAAAATCCTGCACGCAGCACCGTGTCCTGGCAGGTGCAACGATTTGACCAACACCGACAGTAAGTCGATGACTGGAAAACCTCGGACGACGAATTCGTCGCATCTTCGTCCTCGGTCTCGCCTGCTGTGCAAGCAGCAAAGACCAGAAGCTGCTGCCAAGCATGCGCATGCGGATGAAGCACCAAATCTCCCACGAAGTCTCCGAGCTTCCGAACCTCGGAGAATGTGGATGTTCAGAACACCGCAGCAGTCCTGACTGGAGTGACCCCCAAGCGACCCGTCTGTCCCGCGCGGGTGGGAAGGACCTCGCTGGGTGACGAAGCGACCCCGCCAGAGACTCCGCCGGAGCGGTGGCTCGGTGATTTCGCTGTGGGGAACCAGGTCCAAACAAGGTCCAAACGAGGTGGAAGAGACCTGGTGTCGTTTTTTCGGTGGACGGGTCAGGCTCCAGGTCATTCAATGAGATTCAGCTCCCTTTCCTGGCACACTGGCACATTGAACCACTGGCACACTGGTGCAAGTTTGCTCATCTCGCGGACTTTATACACGGCAAGAGTCAGCCAGTTGAACGTGCCTAAACATGTAAACGTACAGCCAAAAAGCATCTGTCTCATCTGGTGAAGGACCTGTTCAGGATTGGAGCTCCTAGGGTTTGTCCCAGAACTGTTCAAGATCCATGGAGAGGAAGCAGGCTTCAAAGCACTAATGTAAAGCATCACGGCCTTTGCAAAAGACAAACGAGTTGCCGCTGCAAACTTCCGTAAAAACATGGCGTTCCTTCCAAAGATAGACATAATTACTTAGAAACTGGTAGAACAATCCTGACGACCTGATAGAGAAACATCCCCTTGGCAACGACTTCTGGCAGTTTCAATCGCATAGCTCGATTCCATGTTTCTTCAACAAAGTCACATGTTAAACTGCTTGCAGGTTTACAGAAGTCTGCTCAAATCGCTAAAACTGATGAAGATCACCCTGACAGGGGGTGCCCAATCCGAACACATCAACACCTTGGTTTCCCCTCTCATGCGCCATGGATCCAAACTGAACACCGCCTCCAACGGCAGAAACAGCCTGAGAGAGGCTTTGAGGACTGGGTGGATTCGTGACTTGCTGTGGCTTCTTGAGTTCACCACCAGTGAGAGTGTGTCTGGTTGGATTTGGGATTTTGCATGTCAATATGTGTGATATTGTGTGATGACGACGGCCTACAGCTTGCTACGGTCCCAGTTGTTTTCCATACCACTGAACCTAGTGCTCTCAAAAAGTGGAGCCAGTGAAGGAACGTCAGTGTCTGGTCGAACAATAGAGAGGCTATCTTAGTTTCTTTTTGGCCGGATGTTGGGGCTTGTGAGCCTGCTGACAACTACTTAAGTGAGCCAATGGTGTGAGTCCCATCTATAGTGAGTAGATTGGATGGTGGATGGTTTCTTGCGTCGCTTGCGTTCTGTGTCAAGGTGATCTGACATGCCGTCTGTGCTTCCACTACCAAACAGAAACATGGCATCCCACAACCCCAAACATGGAGAAAAACATATGGAAAAAAAAACACTATATGAAACTATATGGATCTCCCTTTCGGCAAGCTGCCACGGAGTGCCAGATCTCCGCTTCTCCATCCCTGCAACTTGGTCGGACAACGCCTGCACTCGGCGTTCCAGAGCGTCAACGCCCATCAAGAAGCTTGACACGCTACCTGAGCGATTACCATCGCGGAGTCATCGCATTTTGGGACATGACGAATGTAATAGGAGACGTCCAGGAGCAGGAAACCGATGGGTTGGACTTGAGAAGTCTCCAAGATCAGGAACCAAGACACAAGAAAGGCGCCCATGGTATATATATATATATATATTAATGATCTCCATCAACCCGACACCTTCAAGCCGACACCGTGCTAAACGCTTTGCTGACCTCTGAGAGTTTTAAGGGAATCCTTGGGAAACCACCAAACAGTTTAAACAGACCCTCTGCGATATGGACGCCAAACAAACCTTGACAAAAAAACAACAGAAAACACAGCCCTTTGGTGGGCCACATGTCGTCCACTCTTTTCACGCTTAGTCCGGTGGGTCCGATGGTGTTCTCGGTCGACCAGCCGACCACCCCCGGCCCGCGGTACCACCTCGCGCGCCCGACCATCCCAAGGGGCTCAGATTGGCCTGTGCAGCGCTATGCAGTCTGAGCTTGGATTGGATCAGCATGACCTGCACCAGCGATGGGGGACGAGATTCAAAATGAAATTGCACTCACTCAAGAAGCAAAGAAGTATATAGTTGTTCCTCTTACATAAATTGTATTTTGAGGGCAAAGCCTTATCATGTGAGGGGTTATTGGTTCCCCTGTCTAATGTGCTTGGTTTGTTTGTCAATTTCTTTGTTCATTTCCTATGGATCGTTTGTTTCGCATCGCCGGACGCACCGATGCTGTGCAGTGCTCCAGTCATCGCACCGAGGCCGAACTCGTGCGAACATGCACTGCACCGGGGCAGTAAAGAGTGCACGGCAAGCGTCGTTCGTTGCACGTTGGTCGTTTGAGCTGAGCCGGAACATACTGTAAATGCCTTACGCTTTTCAAAGCAGGTGCATCTGTATAGACTGAGGTGCCGTTGGCACCTCTCTTGAGACCCAAATCAGCGCCCTGGCCAAGTGACAAAGTCTAGAATCCTGTACTACAACCCGCTCCTCCGAACTCTTGGCTCAAATCTCTACATGTAATGCATCCTGAATCCTACAGTTCTGGCATGTTCTGGCCAATCTTTCCAAACACTCGGGTGTCTCTCGCGAGTCGAGGAGGGCCTGCATGCTCTCCTCCTCATAGTCCTCGCACGCAGCTGCAAGCATGAGGGGCACGAGTAGGGTTCTGTACCTCAGCGAGTTGAGGTGAAACGTGGAACGCTTCGGTGGGTTCCGCCGGAAGATGTCCGAACCCAAGGTTCGGCATGAGAGGGCAGCGAAGATGCTGGACCGTCAATGGGACAAACTAGAATCAAGGAAAATGGCGTGAACATCATAAGAGAAAGGAAAAAGGCTGAAGGGCGGTGATGTATGGCTTGAGGATGCACGATTAGAGTGCTTGTCCCTACAATCCCAATCACGAGTGCTCATGCTCGCCCCATCTCACAGCAAGAATACCTGCGGCAAACGGTGCGTATTTCTGGCTTCGATGATTTTCCATGGGATTCTTCGAGTTGCCTTCCACCACCAAAGCGAGAGCTCTGTTTCAATTACCCTTCCAGCTCCACCGGCTTCGAATCCACCCCCACGTTCGGGGGCGGTCGACCCCCCCACCCCCGGGTCGACCCTGTGTCCGCCCGGTGGCCGAAGCATGGCGCGGTTCCGCCGCGGCCGCGGTTCCGGCGGACGCCGCCGGGGGGGCCGAAAGGATGTTCGGCTGCGGCGGAAGTTGGTCGGTGGGTCCAAGGAAGTTCGGTGCGGAATCCGCTGGGAATCTGGGAATCGTTCTGGACCTGTCCCTTTTCATTGGCCTTTGCAGTGGATATTTTTAAAAAAGCAGGTCTTCGACCCAGAAGTGGTCCGTCGCACAGTCCTACATGCATGTGTGACTTCGATGAAAATCATCATGTCATAATTTCATCATACCCATTGCATCCCAACGCTGCTTTTGGAAGTCGACTGCTTCTCGAAAAGCGAACCAACAGCGTGGTTCACGCAAGAGATGATCGGAGATGTGAACCACAATGCCACACATAGCCACTGGGAGACCAAAAGTTTGGGGATGTTCATCACAATCCCACGTCCCTTTTTCGCTCAACGTGGCCACGAGCTGCTCGATCCGTCACTGGGATCCCCGAGCAGCATCCGCCACGCCGTCACCGACGGCTCCCACCACACCTGCCGGGGCTCCGGCGGTAGCGGCTTAGCCCTTTACATCGGTGACCGGAAAATTGGTATTTCCCACAAAAGAACATCACAACCAGTAACAAAATGGACCATAATACATTTCTTAACAGTCCACATCATCTTTGGTCACTCCTCAGCTGTATCAGTATAGACTCAAACAAGTCGCAACAAACGACTTGGCCCTCTTAACGTTGCCAGTTTTGGAATGAGAAATTGAACGCCTGCGCCTTTCCCACACACCGGGTTTTTTCGACCGGAACATCCATCCGTTTCGCCGCCTTTTCGTTTCAGGTCGTGAGCGGTGCCATCCAAGCCCTGAGCGGTGCAAGTGGGACAGGCTGCACGGCGAAGCGAACAGCAGCGCAGGGGGGGCGACCAGTGGAACCGGGCGCCTCCGTCCTCATGAAACCAACGGAGGACTCGCATGATTGTGCCACCTCTTTTTCGAAAGTGTAGTTCATGGCAGTGGATACAGACCCTGGTCCAACCGTTGATTCTTGAAATCTGGTCAGGGACGCAGGAACCCTGGCCTCCACCCTGCAGATGGGGTCGAAAGGCCTCTACTTTCAAGTATAATTAGTGATGAAGGTTCTTCTCCGGTGTTGCAGTGTCGAGTTTGGAGCAGCCCACCCGCCGGATGTTTGACAAATCCTACACTCTTCACCATTGTCACATCCCGTGGAACCTGTGTGGTAGAGGTAGATTTGTTCCATCCCCAGGACCGACCACGGTCGTACCAACACATGCCCTTCCAAACCATGAGGTTTCGCAAGGTGAAAGCCCGACTGCAGCAAGAAAAGCACGCTGTCCGCATCTCAGGCAACAGTCAGGCAACTACAGTTTGTTCTTCAGCAAGTTGCCCTTAACAACGTCGAACCGTCTAACCGTCTAACTTCATCTGGCAGGCAGCTACTGATGAATGCAGCAAAGAACAACCGACCTGAGTTGTAGCTTACAACTCAATCTTGTATTCCCAGGTTCAAGGATGAAATTCTACACCACCTCAGGTGTCGCTCATGGAGGTGTTCAAGGGCTCCCAGGTTCTCTTTCACGCCCAAAGCACCGGATGTAAGTGGATTTGATATCACAAATATGTGGAACAAACTCTTCCGACCCCTTGTCCAAACTTCCAGTTTCTGCCACTGAATTTCCACATCTTTCAACTATATATGGGTGTGGCCAAAAACTGGTATGGATCGTTCCGCGCTGCAGCGAGAGTGATCCAAACCCCAGCGGCATGTGCCACCTTCTTCCACATCTCCTCGACTCCTTCGACGATCAACCGGACGCACCAGACGCCCGGACGTAGTCGACAGCATCCACCAGACCGTTCACCGAATGGCCGACCAGGTCCACGGCCTCCTGGGAGCATGGACCCAGGCGCCCAAAGGAACGGCATGATGCGTTTCTGGGGTGTTTGCGGACGAAGGTGCTGGTGTTTGGTGGTTGGAAACTCCTGAACAAATAACAACTTTGAACAACGCTTGAAGGTATCTGAGGCACTTATCTTGACTATCACTTTAAGGACATGAAAGTACACTCCGAGTCCATGAACTCCTTTTTTTTCGGGCTATACACTGGCCAGAAGAAAGTTGCGCTTCTTGATGTTGAAACTCATGACAACCCTATCCCCCTAGAATCCCACACCATGAGACAAGGGAAGGTGTGGGCGGTCATTTGTCACCCCGGAAAGCCTTTTATTACTATAAATTTAAAAGGGTGTGATAATTGACCGTCCCACACCTGCCACGAAAATTAGACTTGTTAATTCGATCCGCCGCTGACCTCAGAGTGTTTTGTAAGAAGGCTAACAAGCGTAAACTTTTGTCTGCCTGAAGTATAGTTCAATTCTTGTTCATTTCTGCCCTTGATGCTTTCTCCAACTGGAGTGGACGTCTGGCAAACAGTGGGGACTTGTGTGCATAACATGTAAGCAAGCAATGTCCCGTGACAGCTACACTCAGGCCAACTGCCCCTCCTCTGCACCAGTCGCCAAATGCTCCTGCATCGACAATGCATCCACAAAGACATTGGAAGGTGGGCACTGTGACATTGTCTCACTTGGAAGATGCTCTTCAAAGCATCTTGTCTCACTTTTCTCACGCTGCCGTGCCTTTGTGGCTTCTGTGCCTTTGAGTTTCACGAGGTGGGCGGGTTGTGGACGAAGGGCGTCAACTGCGTAAGCTTCCAACACATTCCCCTTAGCCTTCATAGACCAACAATGGTTCTTCGGTAAAGCCTATTTAACTGGTGGCGGGAACCCTAGGGCGTTCCGGCTTCTGTAGGTGGCAGCCAGATGGACACTAGACATCCATGTGTGGCGACATCGTCACCGTCACCCCAGGCCAAAGGATCCAAATAGATGAGGCCTCCCCTCTGCTTGCCTGATGAAAAGCATATGGGATATGTATGGATACATTAAAACTATACGGTGACTCATGTCCAAGCACGGATTGGAAAATAAGCAGACTCAGCGTCTAAAATTCTAAAACCGTATGTCTCCGCTCCATTGTGACACTTCACCTGTGCCCATCCGACTTAAGTCAGTGGCGGAGCTTGGCAAAAGCATGCGGACTAGTAATTAGTAGGATGACCTCCTAAACCCTTTAAAAAGCACCAAGCGTTTTGGCCTGACCAACCGTTGGACCGACCGCCGGACGGACCCCGGTCTTCGGCGGCTGGGCTTGGCCTCCGCGTTCTTGGTGATGCCCAAGGTGTCGGTCACAAGGCCGACGCCTGAGTGTGTGGTGGATGGATGATGTCGAAGTTGATGGGATTCCCTTCAATTTATTTGCAAATGACCAAAGTGTACAAGAATATCAAGCATATTTTGTTGGTTCAAGCTGTGGACAAGTTGACCAAACAGTCTGAACCCAAAGGAAATTGCATCCAACTTGATGGCAGTTGTGAACATATCCTGTCCAAACACGCAGCATCTTTTTGGTCATTGGGTCACTCGCCCTTGAACGGGTGACCAATCTCCTCCTTAACAGGATCACTACTCTAACGGCAGAAGTTTTGGCCCCAGCCTGTGCCTGTGACCCAAAAAACACCAATATCCGATATTGGCAAGCTCGACTAGGGAGTAATATAGTTTATAGGTCTATGATTTCTCCTTCCTTGGCGTTGTTCCACAAACATGAACAAACATTGATTGGTATGTCGCCGCTGACACTATATAGTTGCTGCAATTAAGTTTGTTGTTCTGGAACTGCTGATGTGCCAAGTGCCTAGTGCCTGAAAACAGGGACTGGAACATGATGTCTGGATCCCTCTTCTCCAGTCAAACTCTGTGTTCTTCCTTTCCACATAATATTATGCATTAATTCAAATCAGAAATCAAACCATTCCAGCAAATCAAAGCAAACTGACCAGCATCTTTCCGCAACCGCTCGCTCCGGTTGCTGACCTGGCTAGCCAGGTGCCAGGTCCCAGCATCCATCTGCCCACCTCCCACCGCAGAAGTGGCCCATCTGTGGTTCCCCCGGGGCCTCCAAAGGCCGCGCCGCCCACGAATTTGGTGGCGTCGCCTGAGAGCCGAGCAGAGGGAGACAATCCTGACAGGAAGTTGGGTGAATTTGGCAACAGGGTCAGGAGAACATGTTGAAGAATGCAACTAACAACGGCAACAGCAACAACAATAACAATAGCAGCAACCACAACAAAAAGGAACACTACAACAATAGGTCCAATATGGTCCAATAGGTGCTTGACCAATGGAACACCCCGTTGGATGACTCTCAGTTGTGTGCACAAACACAAGATTTGATTGGCCCCGCCCGCCCATCTGTCTCCACTGCTGAGCTCCAAACTAACAACTTTCCCTGTTTCTGTCAGAAGGTCACCCTCCTGCTCCTGCTCCTGGCACAGGCCCAAGATCCCGGCACATACCGTGCTTGATGAACCACCCAAGTGCTTGATCCAAGTTGGACGAAAGCCGCCAAAAGTTACACGGTGACCGTTACAGGACGTCCAATCCCAAGGACGTTACCGTTACACTGACGGTGATTCCAATTTCAGCAGCCGAAAAGGCATCCAAGAGTATTGCAGTGGACGACTGATGAATTGACCGTCATGGTACTACTTCAAGATATTAGAGCGGTGTAGTTTCTCTGGTTTGTTTTCTGCATGGCAAACTTGCAATCAGTCCCACAGCAAGCGACCATGAACTGAGGCAAGCTGCAAGCGCTTGAAGATCCCTAAGATGCCATTAGTGGGTTTCATGTGTTCTCTGTTTCTGCCTAAAGCCCTGACCCCAAGACCCAAAACGGTTTCTATATAACAAACAACTCTGGTCCAACATGCTCTAGAGTTAAAAGATTAACAGGTTCGAAACCGTCAAAAACCTATTGATCGGGCGCAGGACATCATGTAATGATGTAATGCAGGTTGCTTTGGAAGTGACAAAGCTGGAGGCCTTCAACTAGACTTGGCAGGACACCCACTGTAGGGGAAATCATGGTTCCACCCCAAGAGAGTCCAGGAGCAATATTAAGAATCTCCAAAAACCGCCTTAAAACCACTGCCCAGCTTCTCATGAACTCTGTTTGCAAATCCGCAAACACATGCTACCAACTACCAGCAGGCTGAGCTTTCCGCCGGCATGAGGATCAGCGTGCCCTTGGGCTGCTCGCCCACTGCCCACCTCATCGCTGGGTCAACCAAGAGGAAGGGGAGTCGATCAAGAAAATCGTGACGGGATTATCGACAACCCTCCATCAAACCTACACGGCGATCCAGAACTGGGTTTGGACGCTGATTTCCCATAAATGGTATAGCCTGCATAGCAGCTTCTGATATGCTACGTTGGTCGCGAGGGTATCAAAGAGTGTGAGCCATTACTGATTTGATGGTCTTTGCTGGCCAAAGGCTTCAACAAAAACAACGAGCTCTCCAACGGACTCTATCCTTCCTGCTTGCCCGCCCGTAAAACATTGTTGCTTGGTGCCAGCCAGGCTTCTTGTAGCTAGCAGCTAGCAATCCTACTGGTGTAGATTTAAGATTTAGATGCTAGGCACCACACTCGCTGGGTCGTTGACCCTGAAGGACGAAGTCCTGGGACAAGCAGGATTACGACGATCGACTCCCCACTGTCGCTAGATGTCATATGCCGTGCATCTCTACATGTTGCTTGGTATAAAATGTCTGGCGATAGAGTGTTGGCTGCTCTCTCCCTGTGTCATGTCCAGAATGCTGAGGTAACTGGACTTGCCCTTCAGGGGTGTCTCCGTGGGTGCAGGTCGTGCCCCAATGGAAATGGGATGGGAATGGAGTGAACTACTCCGCACAGGGGACTTCTGGGGACCCTAAAACGCTGGAGATGTCATCCGGTCGCACCGTCCAGACGCGCCGAAGCGCCCTCGCCCCCGAACCCTTCTTCGGGTCTCCTTGGCACGTTGGTGCATGGAGAGATCCGCCGCCGCCTCGAAGCGCTTCTCTGGGATCTTCTCCTTGAAGCCTGGCACCAACTCCTCGGTCTTTTTTGAGCTCAGGAGCTGCCGTTACGTCGCTTCCAGTAGCCTCTTGCTACTAGTAGTAATGGCCTCCAGTAAGAACCATGAATCGTCTGCACAGTAGGGAGCCAAGTTCTCTATGAGAACAAGGACCAAAACATGCCCCCACGGGAGCAGGAAGCAGCCCGGGAAAACGGGAGGCAAACGGTGGGTGGGCTCGGTCTGCTGCGTCTTGGTTGAACTTGAATTTCACCTTTGGATACTGATGCACCAGTGGGTGAGTACAAGCACAGTACTCCAACGTGGTGATTTTATGAGATTTGTTTGGGAATCTGAAATTCAAGTTGAGCACATTGTCTGGTGATTCAGGAAACCTTTGCAAATCCTGGACTCTGCATGCATGGAATATTTTGTCATGGTGGCTTTGGGATGGTTTGGGAGTAGCCTCAAAACGGTTCAAACTGATCTGTTGAATGTGACCTCAAGCGGGTCCACTGAATGCACATCCGATGTCCCTGTGTCCTTGCAGATCTCTAGGAGGTACAAGGCGTTCAAGGCGCTCGCCTGTGGGGTCTCAAGTTGAGCAAGAAGGGATTTCAACCACAATCGTTGTCATAGATGGGGTTCTTGTGCACTTCTTCCGTTCATGTAACATGCATGCCCAGGTCGTTGATCAGGTCACAGCTCAGATTCCTGAACCAACAAAAAAGGTATAGACTGCCCAGAGTCAGCAAATGAAGCTGGAGACTTGAACCAAGAGATGTTGCTTTCCATGCAAGCAAATACTCTATTAGGACCTCCTATTTGAACATATCTGCCCAGGGAAAGTTGCCCTCCAAAAAGTATATCAATTGGAGTCATAAAGTGAATGATTGTTGAACCTCAACTGATCTACGAAGACTCTTGATTGCTTAAGGTTCTTTGAGTGAATGTCCTTGTACTTTTCTGTGCCATCTCCATTCCAGTATGCTTTGATTTCGCTCCACCATCACCCCAGTTCTCCAACCCCCAACTCCGCCCCCCCTCTCCCCGCATCCGTCCTCACTCATGGCGGTCGCCACGGTCGAGGCCAAGCGTTCGATCAACCGACCAAACTCCTCCGGCACCGCTGCCACCTGCGCGGTCCGCGGTCCGTCATCGCGGTCCGTCCGCGATCGCGGGGCCGCGGGACCTCAGCGAGCCGCGCCTTGCCGGCCAGGGTATAGCGGTCTGCCAAGGGCAAGGAGAGGATCCTGGCTTTTGGCACGGGCGATCAGCAATCTTGCAGGTCCAAGGTGGACAAGACAGAAGTTTGGAATCTTGTGGGACATGTGATCTCGTAAATACGTCTACTTGCTTGGAGTTGTTGATTCCTGTGATTCTGAAAGCTCTGAAATGATCCAATCATGGTTGTGTTTGGTGGGGGTCGTTGTGCCGTTAGTTGAAGCAGGACCAGTAAACACTTCATTTAGATTCAGAATTGCTCGTTTGAGACCAATGCAGAAGGGGAAGCAAGGATAGCTGGACCATGCTGGACCATGTTGGACCCAATGTACAGCAAATGGCTCAAATCATGCTCTCCACTAAGCTCCTCTGGCTATTGAGAATCCGATCCACCGTGGTGTAGAGCTGTGCAGTCTGCGGCGGCAGGGTGGCAAATGACTAGACCCCCAGTTGCCCTAAGCATGGCACCAGGGATGTAAACATTTGAGACCATGCCATAGGTTGATGGATCCAAAGTCATGTTCCTTGAGTTTTCAGGTGCTCCGAGTACACTGCAGCGCTCGGAACGCATTTGTAGACTCGTAACTACCCTGAGGTTTGACTTCTTCAAAAGGCTAGCGGCCAGCGGCTTACGGAACCCCTGGTTTGGGCCAAAACGCACTCAATGAAAAGTCGATCAGAAAGGGATCTGTTTGACTAGCCCCCACGGTGGTGGTCTTGTGTGTGTGTGTGTGCAACCCTTCCAGTGGGTTCCACCTACATCCTGAGAATGTACTTGGAACATCTTGGAACCTGCAAACTCGGCAAACAAATACATACGAAAACACTTCATAACACTTCTACCATCTTCTACCTTCTCAAAGGGATTCGATATGTGAATGGGCTCAATGGTCACCCTCAATGTTCATCTCGTGCCTGGCTCATGTGCACGGCCAGCACATCCCCATCCTCGCTGGTCACCAGCTGGACGCCGGGACCTGGCACCGGCATGGGCGCCGGTCGGAACGCCGAAGTAGATGGCATGAGATGGCATGGCTCCGTTGGGCGTAGTTATCTTGTTTTGGTTGGATCCTTAGACACGCGTTGTTTGGACACGTGTTTCTGTAGTTCATTTCACTTCGCCGTCTCGACGTCTTAGAGCTTCTTGGACGATCTCAAGGCCCTTCTTCCACCGCTTCGCCCAGTTCCTCATGGCTGAAATTCGGGGGTTCTTGCAAAGGCAAACAGATCAAATTCAATGGTGAATGTGATCTGCTCGATGTGTGTCACAAATCAAAAGAAAGTAAGCAACTTCCATGCTGTCTTCCAATGGTGAATGTGTATTTTGTTTAATTGTTTTGATCTGCGACGCTTCAACAAATCTGTGATTCTCTCTGGCCAATCTGGTGATGCGCCGATATGGCCCGGGAGCTACACAAACCAACTTTGTTTTCAATATGGACCTGTCTCCACTGAGACATATTGTAGATTGTAGGACCTCCCAAAGGTTTGTGCATCCCAAACTCTGGAACACCCAAAAATAGCTCTTGTACCCGGCTCAAATGAATCCAAGGCCCCTGGGATAATTTCCCGAGGTTCACAAAATCTCTCCGCTTTGACCCAAGAAGCCATCCAAGAATCCAAGTGGCCTCCAGGCACCACTGCAGCCTCTGCAGGGATGTGGGGGATGGTGGAGGATGATATGATGTCAGTCCCTCAAGCCAATGATGAATAACTGGGTATGGCGAAAAGAATAACTATGGTATACGATGGTGGAGAGTTCGACAGCTTGTAGGGTTGCAGTCATTTTCTCTGTCGGCATTGTGAGTTTGGATTGGAGGCTACAAGTGTTGGAACCAACGTCAATGATTCAATATGATTCAACCATTTAAGCGGCAAAGCGACAGGAATGGATAATGGAACGAATCTGAAAAAAACCTGGTCGCATGTGTTGGCCAACCATGCTGAGGTTCTCTACAAGTGTCCCTCAGCAAGTTCCAACATCATCTTTAATCCATTGACTCTAATGCCCCCCTAAAATAGTGCAACTGCTCGCAGGTGAACCGGCTGCAAGATGAAGACACATCCATACACCTGCCCAAGGAGAAAAGGAGCTTCACTGAAATTTATTCCCCCAAAAGTACACAGCAAAGAACATCTTCTTTTTCTAGCCCAACCAGTTGTTTCCCTGTGTTGAGACTTGAGACCTGCTGGAGGGTACATGAAATGGTGGTGGTCTATGGCTTGCTGTTTGAGACACATCCATGTGATATCATGTGATCTAGATACATGTAGACCATCATGTAGATACATGAAGATCATCCCACGGTTCCCAAAAGGACTCACTGCACGTTCGGCAGTCTCCGCGCCTTGTAACCCTCTGCCATTGGAGAGGCCTCCAATGGGTGCCGAATCGACCGGGGCCGAATCAAAAACCGAGGAGCTCCCAGGACTGGTTCCGGGCCTTCACACCCATGTTAACACATGGTTTGTCCCGCAAAAAGAAGAAAACATGTCTGATTGATAAAGATCGTGGGGCCAATTGCCACGTGGGTTTGACCGGATCTTCTGCATTGCCACAGTCTAAGCCGCAACGTGTGGTCTCTCTTTGGATGAATGAGAATGCTTTTGAGAGCCAAACTTAGCAGCTTGTGTGTCTGCAACCAAAAGGAACAACAAGGTTGAGTCTTGGAACATTAAAAAATCTTGCCATGGCAAAAATAATCACGTGGCTGTGGGTGAAAACCAGGATACCTTCGTTGACTGGAAGGTCGAGCTACATGGCTGGTGTTGGGGCTCCATGACTCCAGGTTTTGACCCATCGCCATGTGTGATGAAATACGAGTAGAGATGCGTGAAGTGGACATATACTTTTATTTGTCATGTTGCTGTCCACTCTTGTGCACTCTGTCGTACAGTATGTACAGTCTGATAGTCTTCCTCTAACAACGAAAGCGGTTGGAAAAGAATCATGTCGTGCAAACCAAATGTGCAAGGGGAGAGACAAAAATTGGTTTTGTACAACCACAGCTGAATGCAGCAAACCATCTAAGAATCGCATCATGCAAGTCACCGAATGCCGCTCATCTGAGGGCAATACCAGCACTTGGCCTTCTGCAACCATCCTGGCAAAGCGTGCGTAAGCACACCCATGGATCTATATATAATGTGTTGTGTTATGCAGCATGCATGAACACTTATAATACGTACACATACTTAAACATACTATTTTATACGCATACTCATACCTCAGCAAGCAAGCAGCTAGCAGCCTTCATAGAATCGTGTGAGGGACACCACGGTTGTCCTTTGAATGCCCCCGGAGGGACAAGTTCCTTGTCCCTCATGTCACAGTGCCAGAAGGCCTCTGGAATGATTCACCAATGATCGGGCCGGCAGCTCGAACAGCTTCCGGCAGCCTTTCCGAGGGCCTCAGCCTAAGCCTTTCGGTCTGTTATGGTCTCTTGAGTCTTGAGAACAGTCCTTCATGAACGATTTCAAACCATGTGTAACCATGGACCATGTTCCATCCTATGCCAGTTTTCACCCCAAATCAACCCCGTGTCCACCAATCAAGTTCCAGCGGCCCGGCATGCCACCCATTCCAGGCCACTCCGCACCTCCCGGTGGTGTCAAAATCGGATGCGGCCGCTGTCCGACCCAAAAAACAGCTGCGGGGGGGCCTGTCCGAATCCTCTGGATGAGAACGAAGGGACCCCAATCGATTCGCCGCTTCTGCAAACAGAAGCGGAAGGACACCGATCCCCATGCAAGAAAGAAGGAGATGGTATGATATGGTTGTGACGGGTTTCGTCATCCAACCAAAAAGAGCCCATCCCTGTCCTCAGCTGTGATCAAAACCTGGCAACTTTTCTACATATGGTTGATAGAATAAAAGTGATTAAAAGTGTAAATAGCACACAAACAGTGAGTCTCTCAGAAAACTCTGCACGTGTCATGAACCCCTTGGCCTTCGTGCGCGCTATATACTATAGCCAGTGGCATCCTGGCCGCGCGCTGCCCGTCCCCTGGTTCTTTTCCGCCGGCGCCGGTGGACACGCCGAGCTCACAAAGGCGCGGCTCAGGCGCCATGTTGTGTGGCAGGTGCTCTCGTTTGAGAAGGCTCCCACCTGAGCGTCCGGAGCACACATGGCTGGGGGTAAGCTGAACCCCAGCTACATCCCCGTTTTTGTTGGAGAGATGGATGGAGCATCCCACCAGAACATGAGAAGTTAAACATGTTCACAAACTAGAAATCTTAAAGATCTTAAAGCACCCAGATCTGAGGTCCTTTGGTTCAGATCTCAGTCAACAGTATGTGTTCGCCAACAACCATAGAAACTGCCACGTGGAATTTCAAGAGTCCTCATGAAGAGTCCTCAAACATGTGGACACATACAGCCTGGCATGTCTTGATGGATCAGCCTTTGCGATTTGCTTGTTATTGGGGGGCCTGATCAAGCCGGGACTAGGCTGCTAAGGTGCTTGCCACCAAGGTACACTTCGAGCAGAATGTCCTGGATACTATGACATCACGACACCAATCCTGAATCGTCTTGAATCTACCCTCATGCGGAGAAGGGACAAAGCTCCTGTCAGGTTTTGCAATGTATGAACAAAACAAAATGAATCACGTACCCGTTGTTGTTGGACAAAAGAAGTAGCAAGTCACCTCAAAAAAGACCACGCGATGCTGCCGATATGCATCAATAGCCCATCTGCTCTGCTCTCCAATATAGGATCCCCCAAGAACGTCCAAGGATTCCTTGCATCCCATGGTCAATAAAAAGCCATCAGTCACCATCTGCAGGGGTCACCAAGATTCATATGAACAGTTATAAAGAAATGAGATGAAATTACCACACCCACAAAATCTGCCCTCAGAATCCATGTTGTTTCCAAAAAAACACCATAGAAAACGGCCACCACATCGGCCAACATCGGTGACCTGGACCGAAACCATTGGCCGCGGCGCCCCCCGTCCGCGCATGGCGCGAAGCGGACATCGCCTCATTCGACTGGGATAGGCTTGGCGCAAGTCCTGGCGGCAAAGACAGTCCAGCGTAGATGCTTTTGGAGGGGAGGTGGAGAAATATGGAGCATGAGAAATTGCTCCTGGTGACAGTAGAATAATTATGGTAGGTTTTTGCTTCCATGCTTCTTTCTCCTTCTCCTTCTCCTTCTTCTTTCTTACACATTGCCGCATGCTGATGCAAGCTACCTGCGACTCGCTGGAGTCATAGAGTGGCAATAGGATGTGCAGCGAGACCTCCGAAACACAGTTTGCCGAAATCACCCGAAACCGCGGAGCCACATGGAATGCGTGGGGCAGCCAAACTGTCAGTGGCAGGGCACACAATCACAAGCTCTGGACAAAACATCCAATGGAAGAAACATGCAACACATGGCACTGCAGCCTGACCCGGATATCCCAATGCATAGTCCCTCCCAACCATCCCATCCGCAATTGGCAATGTCCGAGAAAAGGGTGTGTCGTTTCGCAGAAACGACACCCACCTGAACACTTCTCAAACATTCAAGACATCTCAAGAAATCACCATGAGATCACCCTGTGAACCACCTGAAGGAACCAGCATGAACGATGGTACTCAAACCGGACATCCTGTGACCCTGTGAACCCATACCGACGGGTCCAAACATCCTCCCGCGCGGCCCGCCTCGCGAGCAAATCTTTGAGCTGCTGATCCAGGTCGTCGCCTGGCGCCCCGAGAGGTGCGAAACAAGACCAACATGGACCAAACCTGACCAAACCACTCGCACACTTTATATAATTTTTTGAGTAATTGAGTATGGATTGAGTTGTTGAGTCCTTTTGTGATTCATTTCAAGCTAAAGGACACACACGTCAAACATGATCTGCCTGTTAAAATAAAAACACAAACATGCCCTTCGTCTGCTGACTGAACACCTGCACATGTCATTTACACTTGCTCGCGCTTCCGAGACGACATGGTTTGGGTTGTACAAAGTTCGGCCGACCTCGGGAGTGTGTTGGCTGAGTTAGGGAAGGGGGTTCTGACCCGGACCTGGGCGACTTCTGTTGAAGGAGACTGCATGGTTGATCATGGTGGCATGAATGTTGTGCTAGATACTTCACGGTCTGTGGCAGCTACAAGTACTTTTGGGTATGAAGCCATTGATGTGCATGTATTGGATTCACTGCCGCAATCTGATCTGCCGCACCGCATAGGCAAGCCAACAAACTCCCTCTCTACCCTACAAACCCGGTAGGGTGATGCATAGGCCATGACCATGGCAGTACAATCTATCAGATCTATTCCTTCTTCTGGCATCCCTTCCTTTTCCTGTCACTAGTGCCAGATTCACCTCCATCCGCCTCAAGCACCTCAAACCCTCTGGGGGTAGAGCATGTCCCCAAAAAACACAGGCTCTAAAATGCATGCAAGACTTTATACTTCAATAGTCCATGAAGGTCCTATTTTACCAAGTGCTTTGTGGTGGGACCAGACCACTCGACCCATCTCTTCTCACCTGCCTTCAGGGTCATCCGCGCTCTCTGAGGCCTCACCTTTCCGTGGGGCTGGGCCTCGGACGGCGCATTTGACCCTGAGTCTCCCTGGCAGAGCAGGGCATTGTTGAGGGGCAAGGAATCTTAGGATGCGGGTGGCTAGTGATCCAGTGGGTGAAATTGGTGGTGTAGGTTCTCCTGCATCGACAGCAGTATAATTCCTTGGCAAATGTCTGGATTGGCCGCTCTAGTTAGGGTGTCGATGAAAACTTGACCCCCCAAAGTCCTAGTATGGGGATGCTTGGTAGTCTATAAACCACCCATCGCTCGCCATTATGGATCCTGGTGGATGGCATCCCATGATGATGGGCAACATGTTGACTTTCCAGTGAAATGGGTGGAACCCCCTCTGCTTATAATTTGTGCTTCTTTCGTGTTCTTCATACTACCCATCACATCAACCAAACACACAGTCCCCGCCGTCTGTACCGCACCTGGGGCCAAACAACTCGGCACAATAGAGTCGCTTCTCTCAGGCTGGAGCGGAAAGGGCCACTTGCCAATTTTTCATTGGTGTACGTGCTCACCTGCCACCAGCTTTCGGTCGGCCGAACGCACAATCTCTACCTGCGCCAAGCGCAGTTCCTGCTGGTTAAGCAAACAACCTGACTGGTCAGCGCGAGGCCATACGGTTCCTTACGACTTACAGTGCACGTTCATAGGAATGTCAAACGTGACACTAGTGTGGGCGCACGAAACTCAAGCTCTTTGCCCGCAAAATCGCTACATTCATTTACATTCACACCTTCGGCGTGGAGCACAAAGACGTATAGTCTCTGAACTGCAGACTGGAGAGGAGAGAAAGGTCAGCATCTTACTGACTCTATCTGACTGTATGGGTGATTCAGTGTCCACACAAGCTGCGCAAACTACTTTGGGAACACCCTGTGTCAACACAAAAGAGATCTGGGAGCCTGGGAGCAGCACCCACGTCGAATTGAGGAAACACCTCCGCTGCATGCTACCTCTTGAATGAGAGCTCTATTTGTTGTGTGATGCAATACTGAGAATCCGCAACCTACTCCGAACTCGAGGCGTCGGCCTAGACAAAGGAGAATCGGAAAAGTCAACGTCTGCAGGCTGCTGGGCAGCGTGACCCCGTCCAAGCTCTGGTTGAACTTATTGCCAAAGGTCAACGTGTGGAGGCTGCTGGGCAGCGTGACCCCGTCCAAGCTCTGGTTGAAGTCCTCCCACCTGAAGTCAACAGCAACCTCCGATTTGCTTTCATGTTGATCTTCTCTGCGACACGTTTCTTCACATTTTCCACCGTCTCTGTCTCATTAGCCATCAAGGCCTTGGATGTTCAAGGTGGGGAGTCGTGCACGTCTTTCGTGAGGAAGTATCCTCGGGTGTCGGGAACAAACAGATTGTCAACATCACATGTGGCATCCGTGCATGGGTGTCAAATGTGGGAATTCTGGTGAATTCTGTCAGACGACTAGTGACTATAACAAAAGATTGGCTGCCCATTTCGAAAGCAGACATATCCGTTCCATTGTCGTGCTTAACCCAGGGAGTTCTATTGAAACAAACATCTTCGGTGCAAGCAACCGCCGGGCTCGTTGCAGGAACTCTTCCGCCTTCTCCAAGTCTTCGGAGATGCAGTTCCGCACGGTGAAGTCATCCGCCAGGTAAACAGTGGCACCCGTGCCCATTGGGTGAAACGCAGGTGGGCAGCTTGGTGGGTTCTTCGAACAGCCGGCCTATAGCCCTGCTGGAGTCATTTGTGCCTGGTTTGTCATTGATGGACATGTGAGCCCAGGTTCATCCATGTGCTCTTCTTTTAGCAAAGCTTGATCAGTCAAAAATGCGGCATAGGCAACATGCGCCCTTGATCCAGTGCTTTCGGCATGTACAACTGAGACTGTTGACAATCCCCACAAGTGAAACAGGGTGAAGACACGATCGACTCGAGAGGTGATCTTTCCCAAGCAGGCCGGTGGCACCAAGCCGTTTCGGGCAATCACTGTCTTGCTGGTCTGCCTGGGCGCGTTTTGGGACCCGAGGCCTCCAACTGCCAACCTACACCGAAAAAGCCGTCAGAAGAATCTAACAAAAAACCAATGGGTGTCGTGGAACGAGAAACACAACAATGGAAATGTGCGCAATTATAAGCACTTCTG